TAAAATGCTCATGAGGAATTTTTCGGGTCCCGGATTAATTATTTATTGTTGGGTGAGTTTTATTAATATGGAGAAGTGATTACTATATTGGGTTAACCTTATTATTCAGTGTATATATATACACATACCCATTATGGTAACTTAACTTAAGTTCCCTAACAGCAGCCCAGTAGAGCGTTTGGAAGCGTGCGGAAATTGGGATCCCGAAAAGGCATTGGAAGAGTTTAGGGTTTGGGGCTGTGCTGAGGCAGGCCAGCATCGCCTAGGGTCAACTTGCACCATAGTAGGCAAATGCACCGCGCACCATTGTAAGTGGGTGGCCGACTTTTTCAGGCTTCTACAGCACATATGGTAGTTTCCCTAAGTAGGGGACCTCAATATATGGACCCCAAAATATGACAATCCTTATTATGGAGACCCCCAAAAACGTACCCCATAATTTTGGGAAACCCCTACATATCTTTGCGCATCAGTTTTGGTATTGGTCCACAACCTGCAAACCCTAAACCCTAAACCCCGAAACGATAGACTGGAGTGGAGGGCAACTCTCTGGAGGACGATGATTTAGGGTTTTAGGGTTTTAGGGTTTAGGGTTTGGGGTTTGGGAGGACCCCCCCCACCCTGTAATAGTGGTATAGTAGGAATGTCCTTTATAGTGACTATTACTGGGCGGGGTGTCCTAGAGGGGCAGGTCTGTAGAGGCCTCGAGAGGTGGGGGAGAACTGCCCTTGGTGTCCTTGAAATACTAGTAATTGTATAATCCCCAAAACGTCCCCAGAGAATATATGATCCTGATATGAGCTATAGTCCAAACTCCTTCCGGGGGGTTATATAGGGGATAGTATGGGTCTTACCATAGGGTGATTAATGAGGATATCAGGAGTTTAGGCCTTCGGACGGCCAGTCGGCGATTCTCCCTTTGCTTCAGGAGAAGACACAGGCAGAGGAAGCATCCAGGACCACGCCCGCTGTAGCTGGCACCATGCCTGCTGAGACCGCCCAATGAGTCATAGCAAAGACCATGAGGATGTTCCCTGGGGAAAGCAGAGTGGCATAGATAGCCATGGTTTGTTTGAAGTGAACACAACGGAAGCTCCAAGCCAGATGATTTTTGGGGTCTAGGTTTGTGTTCAGAACCTAATTTCCTTGCAGATGTATGTTCATGAGATATCAAATCCGCAGACTTGCAAGGTTTTCTTGCAGGACAACTACTCTCCCCATGAGGTCAACGTTGACATAAACTCTACACCCAAGGCTGTAGCCCCAACTCCTCAACCTCAAATCCTGAACCTTAAAGACAGACATCGACAGACTATCCCTCGGGATCTCCTGCAAGAACAGTCCTTGGGGGCTGAGCTTGCTTTGCAAAGATAGAGTGATGGGCCGCAGTCCATCCATTTGCTTCGGCAAAGCCATGATGTTCTGGGGTTTGCCAGCCAGCTCCCTTGCGGATTCTTCTGCGGACATGAGCGAGTAGTCGCTGAATGACTTCACTTCCATTTCGGAGGTTCCTTGTTCGGAGGTAGGTTGGCACCCAAGAACTTTACAGCAAATTACAGCGGCGTGCACAGACTGATCCTGGAAGGGTGGTGCTTGGGGTCAAGGTTTAGAGTGGCTGTTCGCTTTATAGGGTCTTCTGTGTTGGGGCCTGGGGATCTTTTTGATGAACTACGTAGTGGTTGGCGTAGCAGCGTAGCATATTTCCCACGGACCCACCCCTCAGCCCCGAGGCGCCCCAAACAGTAATACCATGGGGCCAAAGTAAAATTACCAATATTGTTGTCTGCAATCCTTGTATAAGCGTAGTAAAGGGTACCTCACATTAACTTCAAGATGGAGTAGAGAGGTTGAAGAGGTTTTCAGGCTTCTACATGTGCGCTCGTGATCTGGACCGGTGATTGTTCCTTAAACTCTGAACGGTGATTGTTGCACATTCTCTGATATGCAGGCTTGAGCAGGCTGCATGGAGGCCTTCTGGTTAGAAGTCAAGGGTTTAGGGTTTAGGGCTTAGGGTTCAAGAGTTTGGGCGCATCTGAGAACATGAGCCCTTACATCCGTCCAGGTCAGTATTATCAGAGAGCTTTGAGACAAAAGAACCGCGCTCTTTGCCCTGACGAACAAGTGGGATGACTGTTGCTGAATAACCCAGACCCCTGATTAATAGACCCTCTCCCCATAATAATAGGAATTATGATAGAGATCCTAATTTTAAGGCCCTTAAAAGGAGGGGGTTTCTTAATCATGGGTCTACATTAGGGGCTGGGATATAGTTACAGCAGGCGCCAGCTTTCTGGTTTTCTAGGGGGGTTAGGGTTTAGGGTGATGGTTTTGGGATACACTCGCCACCCCCTAAAGCAGCAGTAAGTCGACCCTAGCGGCGGCATGTGTGCCCACGGCCCTTGATCATGTTATATGACCGCTTGATGGGTTTTGGGCTTTGAGGTTTGAGGTGTTTTTCTGAGTGCTCTCGGAAAACAACACTAAACCCTAAACCCTAAACCGAGTTTGGGCTTACAAGTCACCATCCTATGCTGTAAGGCCCTCCACATAGCCTCATGCGGTAAGCGGCTTCGAGGCTTATTCATGGGTTCATCTGGGTTGCTGTTAAGGGACTTAAATTAAGTTACCATAATGGCTATATATAGTAAATAATAAGGTTCCCCCAATATAGTAACTTAATTTAAGTTCCTTAACAGCAACCCAGTCATAACCCCTAGCGCTAACTTACATCCAACCCCAGCCCCCCCTTTGCTACGCAAATTTCACCCTAAACCCTAAACCTTAAAGTCCTAAACCCTAAAGCCGTAAAACCCTAAACCCTAAACCCTGAAGCCCTAAACCCTAAACCTTAAAGCTCATTGTTCCAAGGTCTTGAGGACTTCCGAGATCATATTGCAGAACTTCGGGAGGTCCAGGGGGGGGTTTAGGGTTTAGGAGTTTAAGGTTTAGGGACTTAGGGTTTAGGAGTTTAAGGTTTAGGGTTTCAGGACTTAGGGTTTAGGGTTTAAGGTTTAGGGTTTCAGGACTTAGGGTTTAGGGTTTAAGGTTTAGGGTTTCAGGACTTAGGGTTAAGGAGTTTAAGGTTTAGGGTTTAGGGACTTAGGGTTTAGGGGTTTAAGGTTTAGGGTTTAGGGACTTAGGGTCTAGGGGTGTAAGGTTTAGGGTTTGAGGACTTAGGGTTTAGGGGTGTAAGGGTTTAGGGTTTCAGGACTTAGGGTTTAGGGGTTTAAGGTTTAGGGTTTAGGGACTTAGGGTTTAGGGGTTTAAGGTTTAGGGTTTAGGGGCTTACGTTTAGGGGTTTGATTAGGGTTTCGGGCAAGTACTTTCCCCAACTTCCCCCAAATGCAGAAGTCTCTCAGGGACCTTTGCAGATAGAAGGAGATGGCAAGGCAAGTGTGGGGGTTTCCAGTGAAGATTTGATGGGAGAAATTCTCCACGATATGTGAGCTACTGTCAGAAATACTCAATGTAAAGCATTGGGAACGTGTCTAGTCTTTGGGGACGCGATGAAAGTAAGGCGCACCCACGCGGAAGGCGGATGATCTGGTCCTTGCTTAATCTTCCACAGTTCACCCTTACCAATCATACACGAATCCACCCTTGATGTACCCATCATATAGCAGCCCATCCTTTAGATGTCGAACCGTCTGGCAAAGAGATTGTATAACTTGCGGCAACCAGCATCCCTGAACCCTAAAGGTCCGAATCCCTAAACCCTAAGATACACCCTAAGGAATGGCAGCAGTGAGAGTCCTAGACTTCAAAACCCTTGCAAACCATTGATCTAAGGTTAGAAGTATGGGCCCCTAGTCTGGGCCCTTAGGCCTCTCAGTGGGATTCTGGGGCCTGTTAAGGGTACATAAAGGGTATCTATTAGGTATATACTATATACGGATCCCGGGGTTAAGGGCCCATACTAGGGGCCCACGGCCTCAAACTTCGAATTAAACTTCAAGCCTCAAGGGTTTAGGGCAAAGCTTCGGGTTTAAGGTTCGACCTGGGGTTTAGGGTTTAGGGGTTTAGGGGTTTAGGGTTTAGGGTTAGAATCCCAAATCCCACACAGCGGCCCCCAGCGCCCTGATGTGCCCGGCCAGTTTGCGGCGCAGCGCGCGCCCGAAGAGCGCCTTTCCTTTTGGTCATTTGAGGGGCTCAACCCTAAATCCTAAGCCCTCCACACGGTTTAGGGTTTAGGGTTTAGGAACCCTAAATCCTAAGCCCTAAACCCTAAACCCCTAAATCCTAAGCCCTATAAAGTTCAGGGTGGGGGAATTTTACCACGTTCCCCTGAAGGTTTGATATAGGTGGAGAGGAGGGAATGAAGGGACTCAAGAGGAAACGGAACTTATCGAGCTACTGGGGGTTTGGGAAAATTAGGGGTACCCTTTTGGGGGTCCCCATAATAAGGACTATAGTATTTTGGGGTCTATATTGGGGTGCCCCTATTTTGGGAATCTACCACTGGATCTTTAGGGGTTAGACTTCTGTATTATCAAATCTTTGGGGTTTAGACTTCTACATTGTTCTTTAGGGCCCTAAACCCTAAACCCTAAACCCTGAATCCTAAACCCTAAACCCTAAACCCTAAACCCTAAACCCTAAACCCTAAACTTAGATTATTGAGGTTCAGCAGTATGGCCGTGGAGTTTTTTGGGTGTAGGGCTTCCTTCGAGGAGGAGGCTGAGGGCACAGGACCTCAAAGAAGCCCAGAAGGTGGAATCGGTATCTAAGAGGGTTGGAGTGCCTGTGCATCTGAGGTTCATAGGGTTCAAAGGTTTAGGTATTGTTTTATAAGGACTTTTAAGTTTTAAAGAAGGTCTCTTCGGATCGCAACACCGCCCCAATCCCGCAACCCAGGTGCCGCCGCAAAGAGCGCTCTAGGGTGTAGGGTTTAGGGGCTTGAACCCTAGCCTCCAAAGTTTGAACCAGGAAGCGACCGTGGACCTAAACCTTCAACCTAAACCCTAAACCCTTCAACCTTCAACTGCCGTAAACCTGCAAACCCAAGTCCTAAAGCCAGCAACCCGAAACCCTACACCCCAACCACTAAACCATTACATGGTCTATAGTCTAAACTCCTTAAAGGGGGTTATATAGGGGATTATATAGGGGACTGCTATAGGGGTTACTGAGGGGGATACTAGGAGTTTAGACTAGAGCTCACATGGTCTTTACCTCAAAGCTGAGGTACCTCCCAGGATGTGAGCCTAGCTTCATCCCCCCTGGCAAAGGCAGGAGACGTGATGGTTTAGGGTTTAGGGTTAGGGTTTAGGGTTTAGGGTTTAGGGCCCTAAGGCCTACACCCTAAACCGCATTATGGCCTAGGGTTTCAGAGCGAATCCTTGCCCCTAGCCCCATGGTTGTCGGAACAGACGGGGGCCGTCTTTAGCATGAGGGGGCGGCATTTTTTTTAAAAATTTTGTGTCTTTTCATGAGTGGCAGGTGATAAGGGAAGAAATCTTGCGCCGATATTGATACCTTGTTTCGCAAACCCTAAGCCCTAAGCGCTAAACCGGGTACTAGGAGTTGAGGGCTTAGCTTGAAGGTTCGGCCTTTTGGCCGAAGTTCATTGTGCTCCCTGAAGACGTTTTTGAGAAGCAAATCTTGGAGGGGTCTTTCCTTCCCCCTCCCGGGTTTAGGGTTTAGGGTTTAAGGTTTAGGGTTTAAGGTTTAGGGTTTAGGCGTTCTAGAGTTTTGCTATGCTTAGCATGTTCACACAAGCAGCGAAGCGGACCCTCAAACCGACGCATCCTTCTGCTATCCACTTGAGAACCCGTGTTGCTGTGAACTCTGCCGTGCTTTATTGGCAAGGGCCCGACACCTCTGTTAAGGTGTTCCAGCTATTTGATCATTCCTGTGGTTCCCAACACTGGGTTGTTGTTAAGAAACGTAAATTAAGTTACCATATTGGGGAAACCCTATTTAGAATATATACTCATTAGGGTAACTTCATTAAGTTCCTTCCCAGCAACGCAGACAGGACAGCTGCAACAACCTTAGCGCATTTAAGAAGCTGCTGAGGGCCGGGATGTAGAGGAAAACTTTCACTCAGAAATTGAGGTTTTGAAAGCCCTAACCCTCAGCTCAAACCTGAATCCCTTGCATTTTCAGCCTCGAAATCCCGAGCACTCGTTTACTCCAGGCATTCGCGTGGAGGAGTTCTGGGACTTTCTGGAAGCACTCACTGCTTCAAAGAATTTCGAGAGCTTCAAAGAGGCCAGGCCTTCCCACCCTGAGCCTGAACAAGCCTCAATGTTACTAATCCCCTCGCCACGATATCAGATCCCCACCACCAGAATCTTATATATTCCTAAAGTACCAGAATGGCAGTATTTAGTATTAGGTGGGCGGGGTGGGGCTCTCATATTAGGGGGAAATTAACACCTGCGCCCAAGGTGTTCCTGAAAAGAGTTACAAGGGCTGTTTATGCAGCCTTTTTAACTTTTAAGGCAGTGTTAGCTGCACTTGGCGCATCGGCCATGTTTGTAGCCTAAAACTCCGAAAAGCTCATCAAGAGATACCTGACGTCCCAGACCCCCCAGAGGGTTCAACAAGTTGGAACCCTTGATAAACCCCTAGGTTCCCCAATGTAGTAATAAGCCATTTTTTTGGGGGTGGGGTTGCATGTTTTGGATCCTTTAGGGGGTGGGGATCCTAACTGCCATCTCTCGCTTTGGTGAAGCCAAACCATGTTTGCGGTAATAAACGAGGCAAGTGGTGGTATTGCGCCAGGATTGCAGTTGAGTGTTCAGGGAACGCAGCAATATTGCGCAGGGCCTTTGCTGGGTTTCTGTTAAGGAATTTAAATTAAGTTACCATAATGGGGATATGTAGAAATCAACATGGTTTCCCGAATGTAGTGACCTAATTAAGTTCCTTAACAGCAACCCAGTTTGCTATCAAAGTTATGTGTTCCTGTTCAAGTGCTTGCAGCCCGGCATTGAACCTCTGAAAGCCCCAAACCCTAACTAAATCCGAAGCTTGAGACTTAGACCCCTAAACCCTTAACCTTATACTTCCCTATAGTATCCCTATAGTACCCCTATGTATCCCTGTAGTACCCCTATATATCCCTATATAGTATCCTTGTATATCCCTATAGTATCCCTGTATATCCCCTTATAAACCTAGGCCCGGTACCCTGCCTAAGCTCCCCCGCGCCTTTTAGGTCATGTGCGCAGCTGCCCGGCGGCCAAAGAAGTCGCCTGAGGCCTGGGACCAGGACAGAGTTGGCAGAGGGTCAGGGTTCAGGGATGTTCAGGGTTTAGGGCTTCGGGTATGGGGTTTTAGGGCTTAGGGTGTAAGAGTTTATGCAAGTCGTGCAGCAATGTTGCGATTGTCCAGAAGCTGTTCCCTGCCTGCAGTGGGCCGTACATGTATACGGGTGCCAAGGATACCCTAAACCCTAAACTCGGCACAGACAATGATCTTTTCTTCCGGATTCTGCAATGCCTTCCCAAGCGGCCAGCATCTCGATAGTGGGTTGTAAGAGTTTATGGGCAGGTGCCTGCGAGGAACGCGAGTCCCGAGGAAGTGAGGCAGCGAGAACCAACCCGTCAGTAGGCGCCAGCCACAGATGAAAGACGACAGACAACAGGACACGAAGAGAGGACAGACAACGCAAAAGAAGAAGAGAACAGATCAGAGAAGACGCAAGAGTTTAAAAGAAAAGAAGAGATCAGAGAAAGGAGACAGAGAGCAAGACAGATAAGAGGACACCAAAATAGCGGCCAGCGGAAGTCCCAGGCCTCCGAGTGCACAGAAATAATCTTGGCGCCCAAAGAGCAGCCAGCGGAGGTCAAGGGCCTCCGAGTGCACCGAAAGAATCTGGGCACCCCAAGAGCACATATCCGGTGTTACCATGAACACAGGAGCGTCGTGTCCACTTTGCACAGTGCACAGGAGACCGCGCGCCACCGATACACTGGATGTGCAGACACTTTGCCCAGGAGTGGAGACAAATACTTGAGAAGCATTTTGTCGACCAAGGGCTGCCGGACATTCAGGCCCGAGTTTCACCTCACGGAGTGGCACAGCGTGGAGTGAACGCGTCTGCTGCAGGGCCCTGCCCTTGAGAGGGGCGAGTTGCTCGCCCTGGCCAAGGCTCGAAACTTCTTGAGAAAAAAAAGGGGTCAGGTAGTTTAAGTCTAAGCGACGTGGCAGGCGGACCCAGCCCTCGCGGCTGCACTGATGGACAAGCTGACCCTGACAGGTCTCACGCTGTGAGGCATGTGCATGCGACAGGCGTGTTGGCTGCGGATGCCCGCTCAAGGGGGTGAGAAGTTTAGCACTTGAGAGATCTTCAGAAGGCTGTTGGATTATCCGTTCTTTCCCCAGAGGCTGGGGGCTGCACGTGCGGATCCCTCAGAAGGTCAGACGTCTTTGTCGACCCCGAGGGCTTGGCTGTGCTTCGCTCCGTTTCAGAAGGGAAGATGTTGCGAACCGTGTTCCGGATTTGATGCATCAGGCTCTCTCTGTACAGACCCTCTCTGATTGGAAGTGCAATCCTCTGAGAAACCGGACGCAGGACACGACCACGCGAACAATGCCATGGACAACGTCCGCAATTTCTGTGTCAGGCTTCCACGGGGAATAGGGGGTGCCGGGGGTGCAGATTTCTTGTTCGTTCCAGGATCCAGCTCAATGTGCTTGTTTTTGTGGCACAAAAGCACGGGAGGATGATTGAGCTGGGTTTTATTATCTTTCGGTGCGAGAGCATGAGGAAGTGATCGAGCTGGAATTGATTGTTTGGATGATTGAGCTGCTTTTGATTGTTTTGTGGTGCGAGAGCACGGGGGAGTGATCGACCTTGACTTGGTCCATTTGTGGTGCGAGAGCATGGGGGAGTGATTGAGTTGGATTTGATTGTTTTGTGGTGCGAGAGCATGAGGAGTGATGGGGCTGGACTTGACTGTTTGGTGGTGCGAGAGCATGAGGGAGTGACTGAGCTGGATTTGATTGTTTTGTGGTGCGAGACCATGGGGGAGTGATTGAGCTGGATTTGATTGTTTTGTTGTGCGAGGTGTATTTGATTGTTTTGTGGTGCGAGAGCATGGGGAATTGATTGTATGTTTTATGGTGCTAGAGCATGGCGCAGTGATGAATGTAGATGTGGTCGTTTTGTTGAACGCCTTGGGAATCGCTTGCTCTTTGCTTTCATTGAACCACCCTTGCAATCGTGCTTATTATTTTTACCGTGACCCAGTTTGGAAAGCATGCTTCAAGCACACATTTTGTTGCTATTGCAAGATCCAGCCTCCAGCGTTGCAGCAGTAGCTGGGTTTTGTGTTGTGCTTATTTATGCTCTTGCCAAATATATTTCAGGCACCAAAAGGTTAACAAATATGTCGGTCTTTCAATTAATTTTTCTCTTTCGGTATTTCGGGCACGAAAAGGTTTACAAACTTCTCGTCCTTTTCCAATGCTCAAGCGTCCGCTGACAAGAAATCAACGTCCCAAATTTTGTAAATTATGAAGGCTGAAATACCTGACTAGGAACTCCCCTCACATGCACCAGTCATATCTAGAATGACAGATTGGTGATACTTTTTTAATCCGATCTAGGGGCTGTCAACTCTGGGACGGGGTGGGGATGCTGGAAGGATGCTTTTCCTAAATCAGGGGAGCGCAAAAAAGACCCAACAATTTTATGCTCTTTAGTATGGGAACCCCCCAAAAAGGTACCCCAAATTTTGGGGAACATCCGTTTGTGGCTGTTCCTGGGAGGCGTGCGGTTACACTCGCTCCCCTGCCGCGGAGGAGCGCGGAGCAGAGCTCAGGTTCAAAGTTTAGGATGTCAGGGGTTGAGGGCTTAGAGATTAGGGTGTAGGGAAGCATGGCATAGGTAGCATTTCTGATGGGATATTATACTCCCGATATAATGTAGTTGAGATTCTAAGATCCTTTGGGTTCTGGTATTTGTAACACGTACGAAGCCTTGCTTGGTTCAACCGAGAAAGACATTGAGGAAACGTTAACCGTTAACAGTGTACGTAGGAGTCTTTCCTGTAGTTCAGCATAGTCCTTAATATCATCCTTAACCAGCAGCCCACGTCCATTAATCCATTAAGTTACGTAGGAAATAGTATACCATAGTCCTTATTATAGGGACCCCCAAGAAGGCACCCCTAATTTTGGGAAACCCCCCTGTAGTTCACAATGGGGGGAGAGGCAAAGTCTTAAAGGTGAGGGGCCTTTGACAATTCGAGGCTTCTGTTGGGGTCATCAGAGGCTTCTTCTTCTATTTTGTTTGACACCTTTGTTGGGTTGTGGTAGCTGTTGTTGATGTTGAAAGACTGTTGAATAAATATGTATATACCTGAATGTAACATCGATCACACATGACCTTCCGAAGGTACCTCAAAAATGTTGAAGCTTCATATTTGCAATAGTCAGTGGGGCACAAGAGTACTATAGGGGCCTAAATTACAGGACCGGAGAACCCCACATGTGTAGGTTAACCCGCTTTAAGTGATATACTATTAGGATACCGTCGCCCGGCGATATAGGAAGACATGTATAAAAGAATGCAAACTCTTGAGACCGCATTCCGCGGCGAAACGACGAGCACATTGCGCGATCGCGAAGCCGGCATCAGCTGCAGCTGGTGTATGTGTATGTGTATATGTATATGTATATGTATATGTATATGTATATGGTCACGTGTACATTTCGCATATGGTTTATTGTCATATTGAGTATATGAATGAGTATGTATGTATGTATGTATGTATGTACCTATATTCAATAATTACACAAACGTGGGCGCGCGCGTGTGTGTGTGTGTGTGTGTGCATGTGTGTGTATGTGTGTGTGTGTGTGTCTGTGGGTGTGTGTGTCTGTGGGTGTGTGTGT